TATAAAAACATTTTTCTTTCCCTTTCTTTAATTTGTATTTACAAAAAATCATTGTATCAAATTTAAATTGAATCGTGCTACGGTACGTAATTGATAATTATTCGATTTTAGTTGATTTTAAACGACTAATTTTAGACGTTCCAGTTCACAAACGATCGCGTGCAAAGAAGCTCGTCGCTATAGCATCGTCTTGTTTCGTCGATTTCGACAAGATGCACTTTGGAGCATTTCCCGCGTCATATTCCGTTGCGAATCGATTTCAACTTTAATGCACAAATATTGCGCATTCATCGACAATAATTGTTGAGAATAGTTTTATATATGCGCGCTCTGATCGAGTTGTCACTCGACGAACAACAGGTGCTAAAATGTCTTAACGCGCCTTGGTACCGTTCGATTTGAATTAGAGCCACATGTCGAAGCATCCTAATAGTGAATATGCGAAAAATATGTAACTCAATTTGCATTTGTATATAAAGCATTACCTTTTCAAGACAAGCTGTAAGCTTAATACAGAGTATTGCTACGTTTAGAGCGTTTAATGCAGATGTAAACAAATATTGAAAACAGATTCTTTAGTTTTTCATAATACGTTTTGTTTCGAAATTTTCCTACCTTATATGCTTTTCTTCTATATTTTCATAATACTAATAATATTAATAATAACAATATTTCTGTATTAATAATATTGATAATAAGTATATATATCGTTTTCTTTTATTTTACTTCTATTTCAACAATATTGCAAGATAACGTTATATTAATTAATATACCTTATATATTAATAATGATATTAACAATGCTAGTAATATATTACTTTGTTTTATATTGTACTATTCTATGTAGATTCAAAGCTTTCCGTCTTCATGTTTCCTGCAAAGCGTGATTATGAGCCTTCGCTTTTCAATGCCGCAGGTCTATCGACACAAAACCGTAGGCGAAGTTCCTCGCTTTGGATTTCAATGACGGTCCCGTGAATGCTCGAAGGTCGATCGCGGCGAACAAAACGAGTTTAGCGCCCTAGGTTTCTATAGTTTCAGTTTGCGTTGCGCAACACGGTGCTACATGTATGTACTACAGCAGAAGCTATTGTTATGTGTCAACAGTACCGTATTGTGAGCGAAAATTATTCGAACACTGTGTACACACACACATATATATATAGATGTTTTCGCTATACTTTGTTCCAACACAATACGATCAAATGAATAAAGCTGTTGTCTTGTGAAAAATATAAAATAAATGGAAAATTTAAATAAGATTTTGAATAAAATTGAATGATTAAATCAGGTTGCAATTTACATAATTAATTACCTTTTCATAATCATGATAACATTAAGTATGTTAACAATTTAATTAATAAATAACATTGATTAACAACATAATTAAAGCATCGGTAAGTCTACGTTGATTTAATGATGTCCGGTGTTACTTGTGCAATGTAAGAAGTTTATGCAACTCTCCGAGCTTTATTGAAGAGACCCGGCGTGCAATAATCTCATTTCCAAAACACATTGTTAAATCGAATAACAAGCGAGCGTAGGAAACGGCCCCCCTTTGTTCTTTAATTATGAACGGTTCTACTCGACATTCACCTAACTGTGAGAACCAGGAGCGTAGATCCGGTCTCCACGACTTTGCGAGATCTTCACGATTCTCCACGAAGGAGAGAAAAGGATTACTGGGTCATAAAAATACTATTTTTAATACTGTCGCGTTTGTGATTTCTCCCGAATTAAAAAGCAACAGTTCGATTAAATGAAAATCACTCTTTATCCGTTTAGCATAATTAGCTAAAAGAACTAATAAATCTCAATATCTCTGATAATCAAATAGTTAATTTTATTTATCTTCAGACACCTTAAAATAAAAATTTCAGCTTTAATTCTCATAATTTTCACTAAAAATATCGTGTAACTAGATTTGTATGTTACGTGTTTATATATTTATAAAAATTGTATCATTAAACTAAGTAAAAGATTGAATTAATTTTTTATAGATAATATATTGTTTAAATACGTTTGCTCTGTAGATTTTTTCTTTTCAATTTACTGTAACTTTTCGCACAGTATCTTTCGATATTTAAATTCTCTATAACTTGATCCGATTAGATTTTTATTATACTCTCATATTTTTTATATATTTCCATTATATTCATTGCTTTCTTAACTATGTCCTATTCAAGATTTTTCTATCGCAAATTTTTCTTTCACGATATGTCTCTTGATTAGTTTATTTGATTTTGATATACAGTTTGATATTTTTATGTTTGATATTTTTATGCTACTCAAGTACTTTTCTATTCTACTAATTGTTTTTCTAAAGGATGAATCTTCTTTTATACATTTTAATCGTAATTCTCTAAATATTATACTTACTGTTTCTTATCAGCACGTAATATTTATATCTCCCGAATTTTTCATTTAATTTCACTATGACTTGATATTCTGTTTGAATTTTACACACACAATTTGATTTTCAGTTTTTTAAACTAACGCATTTCTTTTCGATTGCACCTTGCTTTCTTATTAATACGCAATATTCGCATGGTATTTTCCTTTAGGATTATTGTATTCCGTGTTACATATGAATGTTACAACTCACGTCAACGAGATAGATACTCGCGCTGGCAGTGTGCGCCAGCGACTACACTCCATAACGATGCAAAGCGCGATTGACAGTACAACTCTCTGTAGTTCCCTCACTGGAGGTCTCCTTGACTGGCTCCTCGGTCCTCCCGCCATTTCTTCGAATGATTTGTCTTCGACAATCTTGATGAAAAAGAAAACGCATTTTCGATAAAATTCCTACAAAAATTTGGAAATCTGGATACTCGATTCGTGCGATCATCCAAAGTTTATGTCATTCAATTGCTTAACGAGTGATAGCTGCTTGAGTTTGCCTAATTATCTTAAATAGATCCAATTCTTAAAATTAACGTTTCTGAAGTATTAAGACAAATAACACTGAACACAACATTTTGAATATCCTAAAAACGACGCTATAATCTGAACTGTGCGTTTTTAATGTTTTTAAGACATTATTGTGTTTTGTGGATATACATACATATATACCATGCTTATAAAATAATATTATAGCTTTTTATTTAAAACATGAGAAATTTATACAAATTAAAAAAAATAAAATCGCTATTTAAGAAATATATTTAAGAAACCGCATACTGTATAATGTTATCACAATATAATATATAAAATGTAATATTTTATGTGTATATGGTTTTGTAATAAAACATTTTATTATATATATATATTTCTATATAGCAGAGAATTTTTAAAAACATTCATAGAATGTTCTTAAAATGTAAAAATATTCATAGGATGTTTATAGACGTTCTATGAATGTGTGTGCTATCTAAGTTACATATTTTGTCGTAGCAATAATGGAAATATAAAAAAAAATCATATAATTGCACTAATAATTATCGTATTCTACAAATTTAATAATATTTAATATATATAAAATATGCTCAACGATACGACCTATTTATTTGAACAATTAAGAAAATCAGAATTCGAACAAGAGATTTATACAAATATAAAAGATAGACAGAATTATTTGTTTGCATAAGAAATATATTTAAACCGCACGTTTTATATAATCGTTTTATATGAAAAATATATTTAAGAAATTGTTTGCGTGTTTTATAATATCATTATATAACGTATAAAATATAGAAGATCGTATAGTTTTATAATAAAATATTTACTGACAGTTACTGAAAGTTCAGTGAATTTCATTGAAATTATTTTTATTAAAATAGTACGAAAAAATATCGATACTATAACTATAGATAGCGCAGAGAAATGCTGAAGTTTAACGTTAACTATGATTCTGGAAAGGCAAGGTCAAAATTTCAAAGCTATCTCTATATTATTTATATACATAAAATATAAAATTTATACAATATGCAAAATGTGTATGTACAATGCGCTTTGAAAATTTGACATTTGCTCTTTTAGAACCGCGCCACACAATTACTTATAAATTATAATATGTATACAGGTACTTTAAAAATTGAAATAATAAATTTGAAAAGAAACAAACGCTATTAGTGTTAATCTTTTTCTTATTTTTCACTGAGCAACCTTATTAAAAATAAAGCGTAAAATATATTGTTATTTGGATATCATGCATTCTTATAACTCAGTTTAAAAAGAAGAAGCATACGAAAAAAATAAAGATTTCAAACAACTTACTGTTGATTGTGTTTTCTTTCATACGAATTCTATTCAGCTGGCATCACTCTAAGAAGCAGTAACCTTATGAAACATCAGCATCCGCATATTAATAACCGCGTTAATTAAACGCACGCGAGTGGAAGGTTTTAAATATGTCGATGCGTCTAGTTTAAGCCTTCGCCTTCGTCGCGAATGTTTTGCTGCGTAATTACAGCGCTACTCGATAATGTTTCATTTTCATGCCGGTTTTTTTTCTTCGGGTTTTACGCAACTGTTACGGAAAATACATTACAACCTTAGTGATTAACGACGAAAATAAAAGTGACGAATACGGTCAATTTTTACATTACACTTTAAAAGATATCGCTGTGCGTATCATTTTGATATTGTATATATCATTTAAATATATATATATATTACCATATATTTTAAATACATCACATTATCAATCGCAACTACGATCATCCAAATCTGTATACGTAATAAAGTTATAATCTATTATTGAAGCTTGAGCAATACCATTCACACATTTCATTCTTTATATTTCTTGCTTCTTTCTCACTCTCAAACTGTCATCATAGCAGTCTCACATATGTACATAAGAATTCATAGAATTGCACGCATCTTTTTGGACAGGCACCTTTTAATTAGATCGATGCACATTAACGTAATATTTTTATTGCTCGTGAGGAATTTACTGAAGAGTCCCTGGGAAAATTTCTCGCGAATATTAGCATGAATAATTATGCATAATTCGCGAGTAAACCGAGATTGCTTCTTCAGCCAGAGTTGGCAGTTCTATTTGCGTTTCTTTCTTCTTGAGATTAAATTTTTCTGGTGCTTACACGATGTTATACTTGTGATTATCAGAAATCCAACTCCCTATAAACTCAAAATTTATACATTGTACAACAATGTCTTCGAAGAACTCGTACGTCGCGCTTCACGAAAGTATATAAGTCAGTACTGTTGCACAAACAAGTATCGACAAGGACACCATGATCGTCCTTGATAAGGACGAGCCTGTAAACGAAAGTTGCATTAAACAAGAATTTTTCATGCAGATTAAAATCAAATCGTCATTTCTCAAGCAAATAAATGTTAATTTCCTCGTTTCACATAAGGTACGTGTTAAATCTCTTTTTGCTTACCGGCGTTTTCGCTTACGCATTTGCCTTCAGTACTCAAGACGTAATTATCGGCGCACATGCATGTGTTTGAATCGTTTGAATCGCACGTCATAGACTTGATCGGTGGATCGTTCTTGTAATCTTCGATCTGGTAACATTCGTAATTGTTCGCGCACTTGTCACCGATTGCTGCAAAACAATGACAACGATTAATTTTATAACTTTTTAACACGTAGTACGTTTTCTTCTCCCGATAGCAACTATTTCTCGCTGGGGAATACATTGAATACAAAAAGCATAGAATAGATATCTTATAAAAACATTTTTTTTTTTTAATAAAAATATTAATTAGGAATTTGTTAATTAGGAACAAAATATATTGCGTATCCTAGCAAACAGGTGTTATTTGTTGTCATTTTAACATCAAAACATAAATATCATTTTGTTGACAAATAATGTTAGCTTGCAAGCTGGAATATTTCTTAAAATTATTTTATCTAAAAGATGTGTAACAATTAAAATATATATTATTTTAATAATTCAATAACACACATCAACTAAAAATAACGTATATCGTGTTATAATTTTACACTCAACATTTATAACTGTGTTATGTAACACATGTATTTATATTGCTATGCGTAAAATTACAACATTAATATTACGAATATGTTACTTTTAGATAGTTTACTGAAGAACAAAAATGAAAAATTGTATTGTTTCGATGTACAAAAAATATTCGTATAGTCGAGAAATGTAGTTTCGAAGATCATAAACACAGATATCTTTGTGAAGTTTTTTTATTGTATTATTAAGATAGACTATATTTATTTTTAATAAATTGCTAATTAATGCGTATTTCTTACAATTGATACTTTTGGTATAACAAATTTCCTTATACGAATACTTTTGCATTATATGTAGATTTTAAATCTTATTGTAATTCTACAGGGAAATCGCTAGCTAAAGACTTGCGTACCTTTGTTGAGGAAACACCTCGTCATCTCGCGTTCGTAATGAAAATCTTCCTTGCACTGACACTTCTTATCGACGCAAGTCGAGAACTCAAACGTACACTGTACCGACTCTATACATTCATCCTGGAGCATTTTGGCGGCCGTCAGACATTTTGTGCCGTTGGTGTTCAATACTGTATCAGCTGCACATCCGCATATCATATTGTCAGTACAGATACTACCTTCGATGTGCGAGCACTCTTGATTTTTCGTGCACGCTTCAGCGTATCCTACAAACATAATTATAATTAAAGAAAGTCAAATAGTATCGGCGACTATAAAGTGATATCAAATGGCTTTGCAAGTCGTAAGAAGAGAAATGAAAATAATATTACGAAAATATAATCCAGGTAAGAAATATAAAATATGTATTACCTAGCAGTACCTAGTAATGAAATAGCATAAGATAACTAAAATATATAATATTTTATATACATTTTTCATATATAGATATTTTGTTTAAATACCTTTTGAAATAAGTTATTATGCCATAATGACTTAATGATACTATAATTTGTATTAATAATATTTTATTAATACAATACTATTTTATATATTATTATAGTCCCATTTATAGTCCCATCAACGTACTATATTTGAGTACTACAATTAGCTAATATTATGATCTTTGTTCATATAACTTATTTTTCTTGTCACACATTCTTCTAGTTAAAATACTATTTCTTTTCAATTGCTTACTCACTACATTGTTTCTCTTTGAATATATTATATAGAATAATTTTGACAAAACTTTAATCATTTTAACTAATTATTTGAGCGATTAATTTATATTTATAGTGTTTTGTTAGTACAAATAATATTGTTAATTTTTATTTATACATGAATAAAATATTATATTAGTGATCACAAATTATGTGTTTCTTTACAAGGAAATTTCTTCAAGAAATACGTATGCAAAGAGTTTTATTAAAATCGAAATTTAAAACTTTACGAAATTTCTTTATTAAAAATTTTGTTGCGCACAATTCTGTTTGTTAAATTATAATTGTTCCGTTTATCTTGGGATAAAATAATCTAAAAGACCTTTTGCCGATCAAGTATTTTTCTCAGTAATGTTATATCGTGATTGACGTGCGTGACTTTAGGAGATCGAAGAATTATATTTATAAAAAATATATTAAGGTTCAGCTTTCTTGTGTAGTATTCTATAAAAAACAGACATTATTATAGCACTTACCGGCCATTTTCCAACATGCTTTGTCTGCGAAATAATAACCAGGCACACAAACGCATTTTCTGTTATCGCAAGTAGTATTCGCCAAAAGTGTTAAACATTGATTTTTATCTGTGCAAGCAACCTCCAACGATTCGATCTCTGTTTGAAAAAGTCGTATAAGCGTTAATTACCTACTAAAGCTACTCGAAACAAATAGTTATATACAATAATTAAATAAAAAACGTTAAATTATATTTGAAATAAAAAAATTTCTATAATCGCTTTCTCTTTTTTTATTAGAGACAAATTTTCGTATTTCTTTGCTTACTTTGGACGCAACTTTTTAAGTTGCTCGACGGTAGATAATTTTTTAAACAAGTGCACTGACTAATAGTATAATTGCAAATTCCACCCTCGAAAAGGCAGTCTTGTTCGTGCTTGCATCTTCGATAAAGTAGCGAACCTAAAAGACAATTATCTCGCAGGTGCAATCAGAAAATATAACAAATAAAATGAGAACTCTAATATATTTGAGTCGCTTTTTTGATCATATCACCTGAAGTTTTATTCTCGTGCATAGATGCATTAATGCTAGAGCAAGCTTGAATATCATTGTCTATTTTCGGACACATGCAATATCCATTTTTGCAAAAAGCATCCCCTGGAAGTGGCATGCTCCTACAATCTGACGTGTTTCTGCACGGGATAGGTGAATCTGCAATTGAATCGGTCTTTTCAGAAAGAGCAAAAAAAATTTTCTAAGAACGCGAAATAAAAGTTATTGCTCAGTTCATCATTATTATATTAGAAATTAGATGTTATTCTTATTTTCTATCCCAGAAAGTATCACAGACTACGTAATGATGAGATCCAAAATAAAAATACAAAATAAAAAGCGTCGTGGATCATTTTAATCGTTGTGTATTTTTAAAATTGTTTACTATATAATATATAAAATTAAATAAAAATAGATAGACAAATTTTGTCAATCTTTTATTTGAAAAACGCTCAAATGTGTCCTTAGCAATGACCGATTCAATCAAAGGTGTATTTAAAATGCTTAATTTGCCCCAGATACGCAAACCAATTTATAGACTTGCAAACACTGGAAAACTTCCAACCAAGATAAATAAAGCTGTTTTGGTATAGCAAAAAGTGTTTGTGTCTGAATAACCTGCGACCGTTTGTTAGATTCGAAATTGATGTTATGTTAATGTTATAATGAATAATCAATCATATGTGTATATAATTACAGTATGCGTGTCACGGTAAAATTTTTTGTCGTGACATAAATTTATTGAACAGTTTAAAAAGTAAGTACAGGCATTATGCATATATAGATATTTCCCGAGAAATGTGAATGCTTTATCTCAAGAATGTTTTATTTATTTAATAGGCAAATGCTGTGTTAAGTATTAAAGATGATAAGCACATAAACGGAAGTGATGCTTTTTGATAAAAAAGTATTTTAATATTATGATTCATAATGTACATATAATGTTATTCATTGTGTATCATAAACGATTCAGCATATTTAATGTCATTGTTTGAGTAATCTAAACGTCATAATTCAATGTACTCATTATAAGTTGCTAAAAATTGTATGAAACGTAATTTGAAGCTGATTGTTAAATAAAGGAATTTCATTATTGTTAATTAACAGTTTAAGTAATATAATTCAATTAGAATAATTAAACTTATTGATGACCTGCAATATTAATTCCATTAATTAATTAATATTGATATAATTATTGTAATAAAATATTTAATATTAATTATTAATATTAAACGTCACTCGCGGAATACATTTAAAATATTCATAGCAATTTGTTTTTAGTAAGCGTATTATTCTAGATTCTGAATTATTATCGCTCTGACATATTAACTAGATTAATTACTATCATATAATTAAAAGTATAGTTTCGCGCGAAAAAAAACTTAAATTTGAAAATGTATCTTTTTCACGCAACAAGAAATATATTTCAAATTACACGATCAATATCAATTTAATTAAGATTTACAACAGAAAGCTTGGGGACAAATGACAGGAAAATTCCGATCGAATTCTTAGAAGAAAAGGTCATTCGAATGTTTTGGACGACACGGTATTTATGTACAACGTGCAAACGTTATATTTGTTCGCTGTGATCATGCCATGCGTAAATGCTGGAAAATCATGCTGTCGCGGAGTTTCGCGGGACGCAAAAATCTGCGATGAAACTCGCTTTGCAATTATTCTGCAGCGATGAGCTCTCGGAGATTAACGAGGCAAATCAATCGCACTGGTCCCGAGAAGGTATATATACTCACCGATCTTGTCTCCGTTCGTAAGACCGATCGCCAGCATGATCGCGCCCAGTACCACGCACATTCTCACGTTGGCCGGATTCATCTCTTCTCTTTCTTTCGAAAGCAATTAGTTGCAACTTATCTCTCTCACCAAGCCTTCAATCTACCTGTAAGCGAGTGACTCAGACATGGAAGTCGGTCTACGATTAGTTTGTGATCGAGCGTTGGCATCGCACGCGCGACTGGTGAACGTGAATACGAAGAACCAAAGTTCTCCTTCTCGTCCCGTTTTGCTGTCTCTCACCCCGCGACCACTCACTCGCTAACACATTTCTGTATTTGTCCCTCTATATGCTTGTTCTCTCCCACTATGACGGCGTTAATTTTCTCTCAGCTTTGAACAGATCGCAGACATCGATGAATCCGATCGGCATTTTCGCGCGCTATACTAGCAGCTATAAAAATACATTTAAACGCGTCGTATGTTTCTATAATTGTTGTTATGTAACATAATTGCGTTACGCAGAATTATTATTATTTCAACTTTTTTATTATGATAAAATGCTACGATTTTTTATCACATATTTCGAGTGTCTCATTTTAGTTGACTTGTCTTCAATTTCTTCATTGACATTGTTATTTTGTTTCTCACCTTTAAGTTCATATATGATTTATTTTATTTTTTACAATATCATTACAATATATGAAATTATATTTTTGTTTATTGTTACATATATGACATTTTTTATTCGCACTACATTATTTTAATTATCTTATCTTATAATTATAATATTGCATTACATTATTTTTTGTTTTACTATCTTACAATGTTATTTAATTTTACTTCACATTTTTCGTTCCCCCGCTTACTGCGTCGTTTATTTTATTCTATGTATTTATTAAATCGTTTACTTCATCCTTTCCAGTCTCTTTCCTCAATCAATTTCAATTCTTATAACATGGAAACCAGATGAAACTAGATTTAAACGAAACTATAAGCTTTCAACGTTTCACTGTTACGATTACTGAAAGTTAACAATCGATAATTACAAGCACTTATTGTATTCGAGCTAATACTTTACTGAATATAATACATGATGTATTATTTATAAATATTGACATGAACAGATATGCATTGTCTGTGAAGATCCATTGACTTGTTAAGTGAAATATTCGTATATGATACAAGTATTTGCCTCCGCTTCATTTCCTCGTAATTTCCGAAAGGACATCGTGTTCCACGAGCTACCACTAAGATAAATACGACTTGCGGTGCAAATCGCCACGTGAATTAGACGAGATGCATAAAATATCGCGTGAGAGTGTAAGTGAAAGTGTAAGGCCACGTTTCGCGTAGTAACCATAATAATAATGAATTCGATGAGGTTGAATTAGCAGAATTGCTGTTGCAACAAGAGCTGCCATTGAATGGATGTTAATTGGTTAATCGTTTGAACACATAATTAAATAAAGTACATTATTATTATGTCGTTATTACCGTTTCATTACTTTTTTTGTTTATTTGTCGAATTATGCAAATTCGACATGACATCAGAGAATAAATGATTATTAAAATGTAGAAATCGGAGTAATAATGTTAGTTTTTTCTACGATCTCAGATTTCTTATGACCTTTATTTTGATCTTGTCATATAAACAACATCCAATATGTACATTGACAAGAGAAAAGGATTTGATGTTTGTGATTATAATTTCGTGGTAAAATAATGAAAGAACTCTATTTTTATAACGCTATAATGTTAGTAATAATAATTATGTTTATAATTCTATATAAAAAAAGTAGGGTAAGATCGTCCAAGAGTACGCATTGAACTTTATTAGATCGCAACTATTAGATCGTATAGCAGTTGTGATCGTTGCACGATAAAAGGGATATATTAAATTTTGTGATTTTGAACTTTTTTTTATTGCATTTGTCATGAATAAATTGATCAGTTTTTATATCAAATTGTTACTTTGTTAATCTGTATTATTTTTATATATTTTTATATATTGTGTATACATGTCTGCTTCTGCAGTATTTAGCGATATAATATTTACTTAATATCTGTAATAGTTTTTATATAAAAAAAGTAACGTGATGGTCTAAAAGTACGCAGCTAAAAACTTGATTTAACCTATGAAAAACAGTTCTGTGGATAACGATGATATAGTTTACATATTTTATAACGATTTTCTCTCAACGTCATGCAAGACTTCCCATTGTCTTTCAGATCAAAATCGATGACATGGCGTGTTTTCTGTTTTCATTTTGCACAATGCAGTATCGAGAAATGACAATTCGTCACATGGTGTTTCACAATAAGCTGCAATTAGTAGCGATCCCAAGTGCATGCAGGCTCGATATCTGTTTTTCCCGTTGCGAGAAAAATAAATCTCGTCGATCAAAAATGAAAGAAAAACATTCTTGCTTGAATAAGAGTAAAGTGATGAATTTGCCATTCTCAATATTCGATGATGAGCGCATTTTGTTTGATAAATGAAACCTCTGATTCACTCTAACGGGATATCGCTAGATACGCCTAGAGATAAGACATTTATCTGACGAAGGCGTATAAACGTTTCATAGCGTAAGGTGAACCCGCTATCTGGCAGTCACCTAGATATGCTCGTTAGCACCTGAACACAGATTTTTGTTCCAATGACGACTCTCGTCTACATCTTCATTCTCTTCTCGCTCGCAGGCAACGTTTTCTCTCAGCAGGACTGTAAGTTCACTCGAATCACGTAAGATTTGAATTTTAATGCAAATCGGTAACGTTATATCTCACGTGGCGAAAAAGTTCGAGGATGTAGCTATTTAGATTTTGAGCTGTGTCTCTTAAAAAATATTAAAAGTAAAAAAATATCTCTAAAATTATTTTATAAAAGATCTATTAAATCGTTCAAATATAAGATAAATTCCTGGTTTCTCAATATTTAAATTTCGATTTTAAAAGACGTTCTAATCTTTTAGATATTTTTAGACATTTTTTATATACTTTTTAAGCATTAATTTGAATCAAATTATTTCATCAATTAATCTATTTGTTGATAACAAATAGCGTTGGAGATTAATTTTCAAAGGAAAATTTACTGCATTTTAATTCGTAATTAATTGAATCTCAATTATTAGAACTTTTTTTATTTTAGTGGGACACTCTGTCGCGTTCATCGGTGATAAATGCGGGAGAGACGTCGATTGTATTGAGAATGCATTTTGTCGATGGCAAGAAACTTGCCAGTGCGATCCCTTTTACTCACCGAGTCACGATAAATCAAAATGTACTGCCAGTAAGTTTAATATATATATATAATATCATTATCATCATCACTTATCTCTCAAGAAAGATAATCGAGATCGCAATGTTGTACGCTAAAGGAAGTTGATTCAACAAGAGCGTAGTTTTGGGCTAATCAACAAGTACGTGTTTAGCTGCGACGATATATCTCACATGCAATTTGTTATTTAAAAAATTTTCCATGGTTTATGACTCTCTAAGCAATAATGACTCAACAAATATTAAAAAACATGTACATATATATACACACACACCTTTTTATTTTACAAAAATTAATAAATATTTGATGAATATCAGAACTGTTCTTTTATTAATTGAAAATGTTTAAATAAAAAAGGCTGTATTTTAAATATTAGATATATAATAAAATAAAAGTATTTGTCATTTGGCTACTCAAAGTAAATATTAAAACAATGTGTGCATAATAACATGGTTAATTATAAAATAAAATTATTTTGGAGTAATAAAACTCCTTGTGTGTTTTATTTGCAGCTGTAGGACTGAGTTGTGTGGATAATACACAGTGTCAAAGCATAGCAAACGGCGAATGTAAACAGAATACGTGCACATGCAAAGATGACTTTTTCTTGGATAACAATAATTCTTCAAACTGCATTAGTCGTAAGTATAATAAATATCACGATAGAATATTCAGAAAAAAAAGAGTTGCAAAAAGAATCGGATATCACGTCCCGTCTTCGCACTCAGTATATATAGTTGAAAGAAGAAATGTTGCAGGACCTTCAAAAATCGGCGATCGTTGCCATGTAAACACGAATGATAACTTGTGCCAGGAAAGTTTCAATTTTGCATTATGCATTAACGAGAAGTGTGAGTGTTTCACGGGACATCATTTTGTAAATGAAACAAGGACCTGCATACAGAGTCGAGGTATGCATTAGCATCTTTTATTTTCCATGAAAGAGAAGAGAGTCAACCTTTATGCTAGAAGAAAAAAGCGGAATCAAGAAACTAGAAAAAATTAATAGATATAAGTATTTGAGTCTTTTGAAAACTTTTAAGTGGTCTTTTATCTTTGGAAATTTAATAAAAAAAGCTATACTTCCAGAAATTTTTGTTTTGAAAAATTCGTGCGATAGATCAAGATAAATCAGGATCTTTTATATACATAAAATCGCATCGCATTATAGGTTTTAAAAAAAAATTTCTTAGCCTTTTTTATTCAACATTTCCAAAGATAAAAAGTCTTTCAATAAATGCGCTATTAAATTATATAGCTTCGTTGAATTTTTTATTTTCCGTTTTGTGCATTTGATCAATTTGGTGTTTTCGAGAAAATTATATATTAATTTTTAATGTTATTTTATTGTTTTGCAGCCTTATATTTCACTTGTTCACACGACTACGAATGCTACGAAAGTAACAGGTTTCCGGACACCATGGAGTGTAAGAATGGTCAATGCGAGTGTAAGGAGGGAGAACGATGTTCCAAAGGTTAATTGCGCTTAATTGCACCGTCACAAACTAATTTGGCCCAATTCTTCGGAAACACTTGAGTTTTTGTCTCTTTCTTTCGCAGGTTCGCTAATGACGGCCGCCGGGACACTTGTGGTAATCTTACTTTTCCTACAACGAATCGCACGCTAGCGAATTAATACGTAGGATATCCCATTGCTTTGATCAATTTCATAATGTCGTTTTAAATTAAGACAATTCAGTGTAAGTCATGTAAATTATATTAAATCTTGAATTAATAATTTAATTAATTAATTCAATTTTTTATTTATATATGTTTCTTTGTATTCCATTTTTATATTATAAAATAAAAGGGATGGACGGGTGGTCTCGGACACCCTGTATAATAAAATAAAAGTATTTGTCATTTGGCTACTCAAAGTAAATATTAAAACAATGTGTGCATAATAACATGGTTAATTATAAAATAAAATTATTTTGGAGTAATAAAACTCCTTGTGTGTTTTATTTGCAGCTGTAGGACTGAGTTGTGTGGATAATACACAGTGTCAAAGCATAGCAAACGGCGAATGTAAACAGAATACGTGCACATGCAAAGATGACTTTTTCTTGGATAACAATAATTCTTCAAACTGCATTAGTCGTAAGTATAATAAATATCACGATAGAATATTCAGAAAAAAAAGAGTTGCAAAAAGAATCGGATATCACGTCCCGTCTTCGCACTCAGTATATATAGTTGAAAGAAGAAATGTTGCAGGACCTTCAAAAATCGGCGATCGTTGCCATGTAAACACGAATGATAACTTGTGCCAGGAAAGTTTCAATTTTGCATTATGCATTAACGAGAAGTGTGAGTGTTTCACGGGACATCATTTTGTAAATGAAACAAGGACCTGCATACAGAGTCGAGGTATGCATTAGCATCTTTTATTTTCCATGAAAGAGAAGAGAGTCAACCTTTATGCTAGAAGAAAAAAGCGGAATCAAGAAACTAGAAAAAATTAATAGATATAAGTATTTGAGTCTTTTGAAAACTTTTAAGTGGTCTTTTATCTTTGGAAATTTAATAAAAAAAGCTATACTTCCAGAAATTTTTGTTTTGAAAAATTCGTGCGATAGATCAAGATAAATCAGGATCTTTTATATACATAAAATCGCATCGCATTATAGGTTTTAAAAAAAAATTTCTTAGCCTTTTTTATTCAACATTTCCAAAGATAAAAAGTCTTTCAATAAATGCGCTATTAAATTATATAGCTTCGTTGAATTTTTTATTTTCCGTTTTGTGCATTTGATCAATTTGGTGTTTTCGAGAAAATTATATATTAATTTTTAATGTTATTTTATTGTTTTGCAGCCTTATATTTCACTTGTTCACACGACTACGAATGCTACGAAAGTAACAGGTTTCCGGACACCATGGAGTGTAAGAATGGTCAATGCGAGTGTAAGGAGGGAGAACGATGTTCCAAAGGTTAATTGCGCTTAATTGCACCGTCACAAACTAATTTGGCCCAATTCTTCGGAAACACTTGAGTTTTTGTCTCTTTCTTTCGCAGGTTCGCTAATGACGGCCGCCGGGACACTTGTGGTAATCTTACTTTTCCTACAACGAATCGCACGCTAGCGAATTAATACGTAGGATATCCCATTGCTTTGATCAATTTCATAATGTCGTTTTAAATTAAGACAATTCAGTGTAAGTCATGTAAATTATATTAAATCTTGAATTAATAATTTAATTAATTAATTCAATTTTTTATTTATATATGTTTCTTTGTATTCCATTTTTATATTATATATTTGTATTTTTAATAAATAACTCTCAGTACATCTTGACAAAAACAAACGTGTAACATGGAGTTCCATAAAAATGCTGGCGATTACTATTGAAATAATAAGAGGAGGTAACTGACATATATGAAAAAAAATAAATCATGGTCCCATTTTAGGTTTCGAGTTCAATTTCCGATTCTCGACACTCGCAGCGCTCGTGAATTTAGTAGTGCTAATAACTGTAGTGCTAATAACTGTTTAGTAGTGCTAATGCAATAACAGATGCCCTGAGAGGTTCAAACCTGTTTATTTTTTGTTTTCATTCTATAATTCTTTGTGCGAAACCGGAACCTAAATAATTAGTTACATCGGAGACTGTGGCAAGAATGTTTACATAAAATGTTTAAAAAATATTTTTTTACAAAATGTTTGTATTTATAACATAATACACGAATACATATTTTGTCATACAAAAATAAATAAAAAAATTAAAAATGTTAAATTTAAAATGTTAATATTATAATGTTATATGTATTTTAAATATCTTCATGAGGACCCTTGCTTTTAGGTGGTAACTCTGGTAAAAGCGCATCCACATTTATATCGATATCAGGATCATTTTCATTAATCTGCTTCATAGTTTCTTCACATACTTTGATTACTTTCTCAGCATTCATGCGACGATCATCGCTCCACAGTGGGCAACTATGTTTAAAGAAAATGTAAAATAATTTTGATTCCGTTAAACAATAACATTAATAAATAAAAATTGTCTATTATTAAAACTCACCGATCTGAACGTTGTGTTTCTTGACTTCGGAAGTGCTTATAATCGGTAATTGGTTCGAGTACTAAAAAATAGCGCAAAGAAAATGATTTTTTTTAAAACTTGTGGTGCTAGCTCTTTTTTAAATATTTTTTTTTAATATTTATCTACTGGCCGGTACTATTGTTATATTCTATCAGGAACTCTAGTACTCTTCAAGTACTGTAAAATTTGTAGCAAGCTGTCGAATGCACAAGTGTTTACGAAGCAATAATTTCGATCCTCTATTTTTCCTGCTTGCAATTCCCTGGAATTTCCATTTTTTATTATTGTAAACGTCTCCTTTTAATAAGTAATTGTACTCTATCTGGGACACTGTTAGTTTCTTCCATCTAGGTGGGCACCCTTTATTACACACTGAAATTTCTTCAAAACTCGGAGTGTTTTTAAAAAGTTGGCTCGCCAAATAGCCAACGTTCGTTTGGCAATCAACTTGAATACAATCTTTATGTACATCGCGAGTCGTAAATATAGATAATAGTAATTGTCCACGTGTGGCGTCGAGTGGCTCACCGCTCTGTGCGATTGACTCGCGATTTGTAGACCCGAGTTCAATCCCACGTGCGCCCAAACGCGAAGTAATATATGTACTTCATATTCGAAATCTTTGTAATCTGACAAGGTGGCGAGGATTTTCTGTTTCTCTTGTAGCAAGAATGTTTAGTGATTCCAATGAAGAGCAAGGAAGACAGATTTTTTTCTGCCCATATGCTTCTTCACCATAAGCCATAGAACATTCGTTTAATGCATGTGTTATTTTGCATATAGCACAAATAAGTGCACCAGATGGTACGTCAACATTGTTACAAGCAGGACACAATTTTGGTTTGCCTGTTTATAGTGAAATGTTAACAATAATCTAAATGAGACCGTAATGTGTATAACACAATTAAAACGCGAGAAAAGGCCAAATAAGTGATAAATAGTGTTTAAAGAACGTATTATAAGGCCGAAGTGTAATCAACAATAATCAAAGTAAAACCGTAATCGGTTGTTGCAATAAATACATATTGCTCAAATTATTCATGGCGATGCCGCCTTTCAGGACATATTACGTGTGATTCAAAATTTTTTATATTTTAGTAGTTATGCACCCTCGAAGAATGACTTTGTTGGCTCGAGATAAGAGACTTGTAGTGTCTTTTATTAATCTTTTAAATTTAAATTAACTCGTAGTTTTTTTAACAGGGTCAGAGATACTACCGCGTCTCCTGATTATCATATACCTTACAAGTTAGTAATGGAATTAAAGGATACCCGGCGCGTATGGAATATAAAGAGATCCAGATAGATTCAAACTTTGGTTGAGGTAATACTTTTGGCGACAAATTCTTTACAGTTTTTCAAGGATATTAGGTGAGGGAAGGGGAGAGAATAATATAGATGCTAGTAAGCAGCAGTGTTGTTATTGTTCATCGATTTGATATCGTGATATTTGCTCTTCCTAATTTAAATTTTAAGAATTGCGTTTAAAGTTCGAAAGTAATGGCGCGTATTTGAAGAATTATAAACAGATATTATATGTATAATAAAAATCATTTAAGAAAATTATTGAACGCTATATAATCTGCGATGTTTCCGACTGTTTTTTGACCCTTTCTTATGTTTTAATTGTGAAATATTAATATCATATTTTTACTTTTGTTTTTCTCCATGTGACACTCTTCGATGCTTACTGTATCAAGTGATATTAATAAATCATTTTTTTCTCACCGTTAACATTTAATTCTTCACGAAGATAATCTAGATGAATTTTTAGAAAGTCATCTTCTCTCATAGGGACACTGCAATTTTTTATTTTATTAAATTCCCCTTCGACTCTTTCAGCACGATGCACCATTGGTTTGGTGCATAGTTCTAATCCAGTTGTTTTTTTTAAAGGCACCCTTACAAAGCGTTTGCTGCATTTTCCAGCCCCTTTAATTACTTTGCATTTCAAAAGTATTTCTTGCGCATGTTGATTCTCGATCACACATTGCAAAGTACTACCGCATTTGCAAGAACCTAAAGAAAAAAAAAACAATCGCATCTTTATAATTATTAATAAATTAATAATATAATTGAATTATAGACTCTTATATGTTTCAAAAACAATACAAAAAATTTAAGTAAATACAAAGGCTATTAAGAGTCAACGCTGTTAGCAGTGCGCAAAAATTATTGTTACTATTAATATAATTTTAGATTATTAATAGAAAGTACACTACTCAACAAAAACTAGGGAACATTTTTGAACACGCTAAAAATTATTGAACGTTGAAGCAAAAATGATCACTTTTGTTTCACGCATATTTTCATTAAAAATTTCAATTATAGATTTCAAAAGTAGAGATTTTAACCTTTAAAATACTTTTATAATTTTTTGTCTGCAATAATTTTTCACAAAGTTGCGGTATTTTGAATATTGCACATATTTCTTTGCGTTCGATAGTGTTTCCTATTTTTTGAGTAGTATATTTTTATACACAATAAAAACAATATTAACAAATTAAGTAATAAACAATATTCACCAAAAAGAGAACGAAACAATCAAAATAATGTCAATATGACGTCAAATTGACATTATTTTGATTTGGTCATTTGACATTGTTTTGTTCTTCTTGGGAACGTCTATGTGTAAGTGTGTATTTGTGTGTGTTTACACCTTTTCTATTTCATCACACACACATTTTCTTGATTTATAATAATCTTATATGTATAATTACTTGAAGATACGTACAATAATTACAAATTTTATATACTTACCGTTTATATAGCTAGATGTACCATTATTAGTTAAATAATGGTTACGAAAACGAAATCCACATTTTAATTTCACAGCGTCCCAAATTTTTTTAGTTATAAAATCTTCCCACAATCCAGGTCGAAGAGTTTTCCAAATTCTATATCTTATTTTCTTTTTTTGTACACGTTTATAAGATTTGAAAACAATTAACTCATTAAATTCTGTATTTGGCACCGTTATTATAAATTTTACAGGTTTTATATTTTGCTTATATGTATCGTGATGCGTGGCGTCGAGTGGCTTATCGCTCTGTGCGATGACTCGCGATTTGTAGATCCGAGTTCAATCCCACGTGCGCCCAAATGCGATGATTTTTCGCGTTTAATGAGCCGAAAAATGGCTCCACCTGGTGATCAAAGGATCTATGATCATCAGCGCCGTTCGGCGTTAAACTGCAGGTCCTATACATCAGTATACATATCAGTAGATATTTGTCTCTAATATCTGACTGAGGTAGGATTCTGTGGACCAATCACCCACAAATCCGAAAAACAATCTGATTCGAGAAACGAATATAGGCCTCGGACAAAAAAGGTCTATAGACGTCCTATGCTCCACATAAGGAGATAAAAGGAGTCATTATATCGTGATAAGATTTTACGTGATAAGACGTTTATAAGATTTGAAAACAATTAACTCATTAAATTCTATATTTGGCACCGTTATTATAAATTTTACAGGTTCTATATTTTGCTTATATCGTGATGCAGAACCGTCCAAAGACATGTTACTCGTATTAACAGCGTTTGTACTTGCATCTTGTAAACGACCGTGAAGTTTATCACGTACATCGTATACATTGTTACACACCATTGCATAAATAGACGTGGACTCTAATTTTCCATTTAAAGAAGTTGATATATCGCACCAAATCGAATTATTTTTTGGAACTATTTTGTCTGATAGCACTATGCTATCTTTGAACGCCACAACACCTTTCACAAAATCTTCTTTTTTAACTTTAGGTGGACGACCTTTAGTACGATACATTTTTCAGATATTTATCCAATAACGTTTCGCAGTCGAATGTAGTTTGAAACCAAGATATACTCTGTGAGACAAGCGAGAATAAACGAAAGCGCGAGAGTTGAGATGCCTGGCCACCTGGATGCCTGGTCAGGATCATTTTCTTTAATCTGCTTCATAGTTTCTTCACATACTTTGATTACTCTCTCAGCATTCATGCAACGATCATCGTTCCACAGTGGGCAACTATGTTTAAAGAAAATGTAAGATAATTTTGATTCAGTTAAACAATAACATTAATAAATAAAAATTGTCTGTTATTAAAACTCACCGATCTGAACGTTCTGTTCCTTGACTTCGGAAGTGCTTATAATCGGTAATTGGTTTATCACAAATGTAACACATTTGAGCGCCACAGATACAAGTCATATTATTACAGTCTTCTTCTTTGAAAAACTTTCGACTACAACGGTAGCATTTTCGTACCAGAGCTTGAGTCATCATCTCTTCCAAATGTAAACGTGCAGTTTCTAACTTATTTTCGTTGCATGTCAAAGGTATATGATTAAGTTTCTTGCATAATCTAATACCAAAACAATTTATTAATGTGACAATTTTAATAATGGATAATCACGCGTTAATTTCTAAATATTTTGTTCAAAAAGATCAATACTTCAAAATGCAGTATATGATATTATAAAATATTTCTTCACAAATTCAAATTAAAAGAAAGACAACATTCTATACAAAATATAAGAAGTATTTGGTACATTTTAAATTATTCTAAAACATATAATTTTTATTGCTATTTTAATTCAATCCAGATCGAATTTTAATGACAATAAGATTCGATGACAACATCAAAATTGGAGTAATAATAAGATTACACCTACCGGCAAGATTCTTTCATACATTCCGGATTAAGACATTTGAAAATCATGTCTTCGGCTGGTGGTATAGATGCAAAATAACAAAATGGACACGATACTAAACCATGGATTCCAGCAGCTAGTACCTCCGCTTCTTGTTGTTTACAAAGTAAAATACTAAATTTGGTTGGCGGTAATACCTGTTGAAGTACAGATAAAGAAAATTCGCGACCACATTGCAATAAGCAATCAACGCGCGTATTACCATCTGCTAATACCATGTCTGTGCTCTTATTAATGCATGAATTGCAAAATATGTGACCATCCTCACATTTGGAACACTTGGATGGTATATATTCATCATAACAACATTGACATTCGAGTAATGTCTTTTTTGCCTAAAAACGAAATTTAATAACGATTATACCTAAATTATAGTTTTGTGATTAACTATTTTAAAGCACTTCATACTTTAAGTTCATTAAATTCTTGCTGTTCTGTTGCTTTCACATCATCTAGATATTTTCTAAGCTCTGTTTTATGTTGTATAAAAGCACACTCTTGAAGAAATGGTATATCCTCTGTTAGAGTCATATTGTTACAATGTCATTCAGTTTTCATATCAGGATTTAACACTTCCAAAGCTTTCACAGTCAAACTTAAATTATTCATATTCTGACTATATGAGTTCACCAACGTCTTTATCTGCAAAAAAATAACACACTTTACATTTATCATTATTGTAATATATTTACTGCACATTATTTAATATTGGATAGCTTAAGGATAATACAATATCGTTAAGCAAAAAATTTAATGTTATTAGTCTGCTACTTCACATATAAAAAAATTTAAGTAGAAGAATTATTTCATTACGATAAGATACGCTAATCAAAATAATAAATATAAATAAATTCTAAGTAATTTAGTAATGCATCAAACTGTTTTGCAAAGAACAGAAAATCAATAATACACTCAAAACTTTAAACTTTATAATGCTGTTATTCAATATCATCAAAAATCCATCAAAAAAATTATATTATGAATTAAAAAAATATTTTAATTGTGTTTTAAATTAAGCATACCCTTAATTTGCTGAAGTAATATTTGAGAAAATCTACTGCATGCGGATTAAATTCACATTTCCTTTTATCATCTTCGAAATGAGCAAATGGATCTGGAAATATCTCTAAGAATTGTTTCACTTGGAAATCCGTAGTGTATTGCTCTTGTTGTTGAGTAATTTTCATTTTAGCCAGATATTGCATTCGCGTTGGATAGTCGGAGTCTTTTAATTTCGACTTAACAAATTCTTCTCTCTGTTCGGGATTATTATATATTTCCTCAGCTATTTTTCTTAAATATACAGGTTCTGCTTCAGGAAATATCATCAGCAAATCCGCGAATTGTTCGTCCACATCATAAGATTTTGAAGTTGACGCCTGTGGTTCTACTTGTTTAACCAAGTTTAGATTTTTTTTATCACAGTTGAGCAGTATATCAATTAAAATATCAGTTACTATTAATTCATCTATCCCATCACCTTTTGCATAATCATAGCATAATTTATTAATATAAATAGATTTTACATTTGGAAACATAATTTTTAATTTCTTATATATTTTAAGAGCTTTTGAGTTTAACACATTCCTTTTGTTCGGCATCGTTCACTACTTCTTTTGGCTTGTCTTTGTATGCATATATTTTTAATTTTTTATTTCCTATTGAATCTGTTGTTTCCAATTGCTCTACTTTCCAATTAATTTTATTTGCATCATAAACTTCAATAAGTGTTTTCTAAGTTATCGATGAATGCTGCTAAAGAGAAAATAATTAATATCTATCTTAATATTAATATCTATCTTTGTTCTTATCTCTATATCTTAAAAATTTTCTACTAACTACTTTGATGATCCTTTTAAGAAATTCAGAACGTTACTCGATCGGAAGGTGATACCTAACTGCGAAAACGACACGTAAAGACTAGAAAGGAATGAGAAGAAAAAAATTATAACATAAGAAAGTAAATATCATCCTCATAAGCACTTGTGGCTGAATAGTAATAAGCCTTCTATCTACAGTAAGGCATTACTTAAGTTTAAGTATCATAAGAAATTTACCAATCACAATCGAATGTTAGAAGAATAATCGACTGTAAGTGGTAAATATTTCGTATGACTTAATACTTAAACCTTAGGTAATGGCTTATTGTAGAAGGCCCATTACTATTCAGCACAATTAAAGCACAAACAATTAAAAGAAATAAACACTATTATTAAATATGCATTCTTACCTTATATTTTAAAAAGAGAATAAAAGGAACGAAATCAGATATGCGCTATGCGTTTAACTCGTGATTTAACTGCGCATGCGCTTTAATCAGCTAACTTTTCCATTTGGATTGGAAAATCACGGAGATTATACGATCGCGAATGTTCACGCGAATGAATCATTGTTTACATTTCTAACGTGGCATTTGAAAAAAAGGTAATAATTTTCATTAACATTTAATTAATAATCTGTAATTCCTTAAGCATGCTGTCTGCACTGCGTAAAGAGTTTATCGCGAAAAATTAGGTTATGTTGCGTATACATTGGAATAAAATGTGCACATTTCTTTTTATGCTTATAAAGCAAGTTGTATGATAGACTGTTTGAGACAATATATGTATGCATATATATATATATATTTATTTATTATACAATATTGTTTATTACACATTTTTATTATATACATAATAGAATGTAGTAATGTGTATGATATTAACAGAAATCTATCATATCATTAGATGACCCTACATGGTCAATAAAGTGACAGTATTAACAAATATTAACAATATTACTGATCATGTGTGGTTAATATTAATAGACTAGCGTAGAATACTGACAGTGTTTGAATCTTGGTTTTCGAGCATCAGTATTGTTTTTATTAGGATTCATATCACAGTATGTCACAGTGCAATGGATAATATACGTAAAATTAAAGTGAAATATATTATCAATAATACTGATTGTATAAGATATAAAAATACTAAAAATATTTTGATGCATACTGTCAGTATTACTGATTCATTGTTACTAATCAGTATTATTGAACGCATAGGGTCACCTATAAAGGACTAGCTATGAATTTAAAATTTGATTAAACATATGTATTTATATACATTCTTTCGATATGTATCTCATTTTCTTTTCAGAATCCATGTCTTGGATCGTGAACTCTGTTCGCGCTGTCATAACCACATGGACACCACAGATGACACCAGTACGGTTTCGCTATCATGCGGATAAGATAGCAAAAGGTCCCTTGATACGGGGATATGGATATGAAGATCCTATAGATATGAGAGGCCTTCTACCACGTACGAACAATACTACTCGACTTCCGATGCCGATCTATCGACCAGCAAACGCTTGGTCCGAAAAGAAGGCACTATTCGGTCAGAATGACTACATCGACATATTGGGTGCGGATAACTTACATCCCACGAAAATTATCTATAACGTACCCTCATGGTTGAGAGGTGTCGGTGGTAACGAATTTCAGGTTTTATTGCGAAAGAGAAAAATGTTGGCAAAAGGTATATATCCTGTTGCAAGACCCACTAAGTGGCATCAATTGCACAAAAGAATACATTATCTTTATAAATATTTGAATCGTAAAACTAATAATACATAGATGAAAATTAAATAGATTAAATTGAATTTGTCTGATCAAAATTTGATACAAATAAATTTAATGAAATTCTAATTTAATTCCTATAAATAGTTGTGTTTTTTTCCTCAATAGTTTTGGAACATTCTCTCGAGTTTTTACAACTTTTTGTTTTAAGTCACATAATTATTGCATACATTAGTTACAATTTACTGCTTACAGTAACAATTATAAAAAATATAAAATAATGAATTTATTTATTGACAAATAATTATCCATCGGATATACGATTATTTCACAACACTGAAAAACGCAAATATTTTTCTCGCTGAAACGCGGATTTTCATTTCGTAGAAAGATAAAAGGGATACATGTGTCACGGTCACGTACCATATATGTACATAGTTCAACGTTATAATGTGAAACGACTGCGAAACAGAAACGCTTCTGGACTGAAGTTAGTCTTCCTGATTAACTATTGTCAATAAATTGAGTATTGTCTATTCTTTTAGAAAATAGTCACATTTAACCGATATTATCACGTTTGTAAACTTTGACAATAGCTGATTAAGAAAACTTTGAATGTACTTATTGCGCATTTTGTGGCATCTTGATAGCGGCGTTGAAAATTCGTGTATTCAGTACATATACTGATTTTTTGTAAATTATATGTTATAAATTCCTTGCTAGAAGTTCGTCCTTGATAATTAATGACACGATATATTCACACTGCTTTGCAGATACTTTACATGAAAAAAAAAATGTAATACTATCTTAAAAACTCTATAGAGGCACTTTTATACAGAAATTAGTTCACATATTTTGCCACCTCTGAAAATATTTCTTCCTTTTGAGTTTTATGTTTAAGTGTGTATACATAAATTATAATGGCAGTTACTTAAACTCGCAAATTCTTATTTGAAGAAACAATTATTATCGAATTATTTAACAATATATGAAAAGAAACAAAAATAAAAAAAGACAAAACGTTAGTTCATAAATGATTCTGTAAAAAGGATAATAGGGTTGTTTCGTAATGTTTGCTGGCATCTATACTTCTCAGACTATGCCTCTCATTAGGGTAAACTTGCAACTGATACGGTTTACCAATTTTCACCAGGGCATTAATCAATTGGCTAGTGTGGTAAAAATGTACATTCTCGTCTATAAGACCGTGAATAATTAACAAACGATTCTCTTCGTCGGGAAACTTGTTTACATATGTCAGAACTGATCCGGCCATATAACCGTGAGGATTGTTCTGTGGCATGTCCATGTAACGCTCAGTATATCCGGTATCATAAAAGTTCCACGAGGTAACTGGAGCACCAGCAATGGCCAACTGTGAATTGCGATAAAAAATTTTTTTTAAGGGAACTTGAAGTTTTAAGAAAATGTAATATCAATAAACAATAATTTATGCACACCTTGAATACATCGGGATACTGTATCAAACCCATTAGACTTAAGTATCCACCATAAGACCAGCCATGAAGAGCTACTCGATTTAGATCTATATATCCAGTAGTCTCTGCCAACCATCTTAATACTTCGACTTGATCGTTCAGCTCTACTGTTCCCATCCTACGTCGCAAATGACTCTCGAATATGAGACCTCTATGCTGCGACCCGCGAGAATCTATTAAAACTACACAGTAGCCTTGAGCAGCTAACATGTGCATTCGTAAATGTCTTAAACCCTGCAGAGGATTAAATAATTAATGAGTCTTTTTACTTCATGAGTATAAAGTACTTTTTCATAAATTATTTATAAATTTTTTATTGTTATGAGGCACATTCCATTCAAACCATCGTCTACATTACTGTGCAAAAGTTTAGAACATTCTATAATTGTTAAATAAAAACATGATTTTTTACAGATGTGTAATTATGTTGTTGAAAATATTAATTTTTATTTTAGAATGTACACTATTAGAATAAAATTTATGGTCGAAACAGTATAAACAGTATAAAATTTTTGTACATTTTTACAATGTTAGAAATAAACAATCCTAATACGAAAGAAAATAATAATTAGAAATAGATGTTTTATAAAATATATATTCGTGAAGGCGCGCGCTGCGTACTAGTTCTTATAAAAAGTTTATTAATATCAATATTATTAGATTGTTTGTTAATTTAATATGTGATATTACTTTCAAGATTGAAAAAGATTTCAGCACGCAGTTTTGATAACAAAATTGAATATGTAATATAAATTCACACTTCTGAAATACTTGAGCACTAAGATTCGTTTTGACCTATAATAGGATTTCCTACTTAAATTAATAAAGTTGATTATTAACTTTCTTTTCAAAATTTGTTGAAATGTTCCAAATTTTTGAGCGGTAGTGTATTTATTTTTAAAGGAGAATACCTACTTTAAATGTGTTTGATACAAGTTGTACTTCGGGTCCTCCGTAAACATTTAATATCGTGGGATATTTGACCCCAGGTTGGAAATTATGAGGTTTAAATATCATCGAGTAGACCGTATCCCCCGATTTGATTTTATGCGTAAAGATTTCCGGTGCGAACAACTCAGATTCGGGCGCCGATGGTTCTAGGAGATAACCTACGGGTGTGAGTGATATACTTTCCACTGTCCAATCGGTTTGTGATATTTTAAATACCTACAAAATTGATAAAACAAATTACTGATCGTGTAAAACTAATATTGTTAGGCGTATAAGTATTTACGAGGAACGTACTTGACAAGTAGGCAGCGTTTTAATGGAACTATAAACAGTAACCAGCATTGTACACTCTTTGTTAAAATATACACTGTTGTAACTGTAGCCAGGCCGCGTCAGTAGCCGTATTTCTAATGGCCGTCGTAGCGAAACTGCGTAAACGTGTTGCTCAAGCGGTCCTTCTCTTAGTCCACAGAAGTAGACGATGGAATTGACCTCGTCGACCCATATTTTCTTGCCTAGTACTTCATAATCACCTTGTGTCAGAGCTATCTTGGAAGTAATACGTGGTCGAAGAAATATACTGTCCATTCTATCCAAAGGTTCTTCCACTCCGTTACTTAAGCCTATATTTAAAATGTATGTAAAAAAACGCGCCGAGTAATGGTATTGCTATTGAAGTGGATATGTCATAAACCTGCTATACTGGATGTTATAAGATACAAGTGTCGAAACTCGGATTCCTCGCTTCCCCAGATAAATTTGACTTCGTTCGCATCGTCGGACTTCAAGAAGTATAGTAGGTCGTTCACGTTTATCCAAATTGGACTCTGTTCAGAGTATATCACTTGAACGCTCGCTGATGTGGGGGTGAAATGATTTTCCGTATTGTACGTATTCGGCGGTGGTTCACAAAAGTTGTCTATCGACAACAACACCAACTCGAGTTTCTGTTGTTTTCTGTCTAGTAGTTGCACCCAGACGCTACATGAACAAAATAACATTATTGACCCATACTCGTACATTAATACAAGATTTTGTATATTTGAGTTTTGCCTCCAACTTACTATTGAGCATCCGGAGTCCATCCAACTCGCACCATGTATTCCATCCACGGGAACATAATGTGAAGAGGATATTGGAGCTCCAATATCTCGACATCGACAATATGTAATGACTCTGTTAGACGGAACTGCACCATTTTCAAGTTACTCCTAGCATTAGGCATACCAGCTCTAGGAAATCTAAATTCATCTACTTCATCGAAATTTGACGAGGGGAAGCAATATATCTTGACATCGCTCTCGTCCACTTCTTCGTATACTATCCTATAGATTCCATCAAACATGGACTTTGGCTGCCACCAGTAGCCAATATACCTATGATAGATAGAACAGATATTTTAAATTTGCGTTTTTATTACGTGAATATTCAACAGCAAATGATTCAACCTTGTAAATTCCTCCTGCATGACGTAGGAAGGAGTACCAGCGGTAAGCGGATCGTCCACGAGACTTCTTCCTCCTTTCCTGGCATGAGTTAATCGAACTGAAGAACCTGTGATACTATGAGACAGATACAGATCTCCTGAACACGTGTGAGCGATCAAAGCGTTGTTCCAGGGACAGATTTGAGGACATAGTTTCGCACCGGTCGTCGACATCCTGATTTCGGATGGGAAGAGAGGTCCAGGCTGATAAAAAAAAGATATAGTATTAAATACTTTTTTTCATTAATCCACAATAATATGCAGATATTACCATAAATCCAGTATCTACACATTGATAAAGACTGCTAGCAGCTGGAAAGACTAATTTTCCGCTCTCCGCATGGATCTCGTAACTGGTGATACCCCACGTAGCAAGTCTCTTCCTTTCCCACAACAACTGTTCCTCCTTCGACAATCTATTTGCACTTGATACACTAAAATCATCGTATAATTGATCTAGATGCTCTCTTGGACAATACAATATCACATTGAACGATTCACTTTGTGTTGTTGTTTACCTCTGGAAATTTGCCTCTATGACAGGTTGCCAATGCAATCGGTAGCCGTTGGCATGATCCGCGTGTGCAATGTCCACGTAGAGAAGAGTGGTCTCCCAACCGTTACTCGGCGTGCTAAGGAAATAGATTCTAGTTCTGCAAAAGGGGAGCGAAGCATCGTTAATCTTTCGACCAGACAATGAAGCGAACTTGAAGGTGTATTGTGTCGCCCAGCTAACGAGCGTGTTTTCCTCACCGGCCGTCTGGAAGCGATCGGAAAGTTATAGAACTCGGTACAGATCCAGCCGATACTCCAGACAGTTTCCTCCTGAGATCGCTAACGACGGCGCGGAGCTCGGGCCAGGATTTCCGCGGCACCGTGCTGTCGGGGACGGCCTGTTCTCCTGCTGATTCATTGCCCGCGGTGTCCATATTCTCCATACGTTGCCGGCGGCCTTTCCGCGAAGTCATTCGTTCCCCAGCGAGTACCTCCGTGGTCGTTTCGGCGCAATCATGTCGACGCGAACGTATCCCGGGAGCAATGTGTGATAGATACGGATGCACTCGGATACGACGAATAGCCACGGCCACGGAGCGACGGTCCACAGCACGGACGATACTCGAGACGTTACTGTGCGCGCGCGACCACGCACGGCAGCGGACGGACGGACGCAGACGTGCGACGAGCGAGCGAGGGGGAGAGAAAGAGATATATATATATATATATATTTTATTTTTAGGTTATGCACCGTCCGCCGCCACAGAGGCTCACTTTCACCTTCTCCCCGGCCTCGCTCGGTTTCTCTTCGGTGGTCTCTCCCTCCTCCCAGCGTCGCGCGACATTCATTTCCCGAAATCAAGTACTTATACTACCGCAACCACGACCGCCACCATCATCGCCCAGTATCACCACCACTAACACAGAGCAGCTGTCGCTGTCGGAGGATCGCAGCCAGCCACGATTCCACCGTGATTTCACCGACTCCACGTGCCAAGAATTCGCCGCGAGTGCCAAAGATTCCAACAAAGAGAGCTGACGCTGTCACTCGAATGTTCGCACGTGACAGTGACTCTTATCTGCTCTTATCATTGTTATCGTTGTTGCTCGTCGACGGCTGTCCGATGACGCGTTCGCGAGGAGGCGAAGCCACGTGAAAGAGATACGGTTGCATGCGTTGGTATTCGCGCACACGTGTATATGTATGTAGGTACACCGCGCGTTGTGTCACACTGATTAACTGATATATTGTGTCTCGCGTCGCCGCCGATGACCCCCCTATTCCTGTCACGCGGATGGGGAACCTCCGCTCTCCGTATGAATTGTCTTAATTTAAAAGGATTTACGCTCGAATTTAATTACGTCGTAACCACACGTTTTTGTGCGTTCTCGGTTTCTGACATTCGCGGAAACTGGCGATTAAAAGTTTGCAATCGATTCTTCGTAGTCAATCCGATTAATTATAATTGTATTTAATGGTAACCTCTATTGGTTCGTCGTTAGGGTTAATCCGTATCGATTTGAGGTCACACTTAATTATGTGTCATCGCGCATTAGATTATGGCTCGATTGTGTGTTAGCGTATCTTTTGAAGCAACAAATATTTTTTATGTACGCTGTTTAACTACTATTTACGCATCATTATTATCTCAGATCGTGACGTCAGAAGCGCGAAAACAAATATAATAAAAATTCTTGTAAATTATAGATTTTTTAAATACTCGAACTAAGCAATAGATGTATATAGACATTTTAGAATATGCTTGATTTTGATAATTGACGAAAAGTTCTTGCAATCGATAGAATATATTTATATCGATAAAATATATTATAAAATATATTATAAAATATATGTATAAAGATATTTCGGGAAGAAATTAAATCATATTTATTTCTATATACGATGTTAATTTAATACTTTGTCATTATAAACTTGTAACTTACTTCGTTTTTGATTATGCATAATTCATTTTCAAATTTGTATAGTAATTTATTCATTAATCAAACAAAATGAATTTTTACTATATTTTACAAAGTCTGCTAATTTTGTTTTGTTATTTTATTGAAACACATCTCTATATTCTATATCTATATTTTGCAGGAATTTATTATATATTTTTCGCTGTTGACATTACATCTTGAGATAATAGTAAGCAAAATACGAGGATTCTGAACATAACAAATATCCCGAAGATTTTTAAATTCCTGTTGAACATGATAATGCTGTTGTTGACAAAATTTGCGTAATATGTCAGGATTTTTAGTAAATTGGAGTAAAATAGTCTATAAAAAGCTACTTTTGGCTCATTTCATTTCAATTTACTCAAAATCCTGACGTGTTGCCTATACAAATCCTGATGACATTATCGTGTTCGGCGTGAAAAAATCTTCTGGGTTATTATATTATACAGCACTTATAACTACAGACTTCTATAATTAGACTGCTGACTCAATGTGATAGAAAGAGATGAACCTGATTCTGATTTTTTTTTAAATATTGCTTTGTTATTATGTTATTGTATTTTGTAATATTTCGCAGATATTCTGCAAACGTGAACTTTTGGTGCGTTGAAGGCTACTGATTGTGAAAAGGAAAATAACGTCAAGGATACTCTTTTTAATCGAAATTGAATGAATTCCATTTTCTCTCGAGATACATTAAACCTTTACACATTTCAGATACCTAATAATTTTGCACGATTTTAGAAAAACAATGGCAATTATTTTGATTAAATTTGAAGAACTTTGTGGCGTTTAATAAAATTTGAGAATACAGTAGCGCTTTAATTCTTTTTAATTTAATGGAAGTTGGTGATATACTTGATGGAACGGCATAAATTCGCAATATGCGTTGATGTGTTTTGTTTGACTTTCGGTTATGAAAAAGAAAACGATGTCTCGTTATGAGGATATTTTTTTGATAGAAATTTAATGTATTTAATTTTTGCAGATGTTCAAATTTAACGGTAGTAGTTATCTTGAGTGAATTAAAATTCTAAAGGTTTAATATATTATAATTTTAGAATAGTAGCACTTTCTTTTTAATTTAATGGAACATGGTAGTTGATAAAACGGCATGAATACGCAACGTTTGAAGAGAAAAAAAAATTCCTGAGGAGAACAAACATATGTTCCCGTCGTAGTTACGTTCCCGTTGTTCTTACATATTTTAATAGCTCTTCTCCGTCGCGACGTCTGTTTTTATCCTTGTGCATCCCTGAATAATTTTCCTCGTCGTCGTCGTTGTCGTCGTCAGCAGCAGACTTCTTCACATTTACGTACCAAATCCAGATGTGACGTTAATTCTATGCGTTGTAAAACGACAAATTTTTCTTTCTCGAGCGAAGGGAAATATAATCGATCCTTTATATGATCGGCTGCGGAAATAGACGCTTTCCGTAGTGCGGTTTATTCTTGATAATATTCGCGAGAAAAAATTCTTGTGACGTTTCTTATAAATCTATGCCAGGTATTCGGGTCGTTATTCATTGGTTGTACTTCGATTCGAATAAATATCGGCGAGTCGACCGATAAACGACGCTCGTAATGCACAAAATGCAGGTAACTTTTTTCATTTTAAAATTATTACGGACATATAACGTTTGGTTTATGAAAATAGTGATAATAACATAATTCAATAAAATCAATACTTTGTTGAAATCTAAAAGGGAATAATTTTCCATGAATCCTATTTTTTAATTCATATAAATATATATTTTAATTCTATAATACTTCGTTATATATAATTTTGAAGTTTGTTATAAAAATATTACTGTTGTACACAAATTTTATTATATTATGAATGTGACATACATATACTTATTTATATTACGAGAAAGTTGATTGGAACTACAGTACAAAACGTATTTATATATTTTTCGTGCTAAAGTATAGCATATAAGGTACTTTTTTGGTATTTTTTGTTTGCCTTGCTTCTTATGTAAAATTTTATAGTACTCATTAGCAAATTTAATAAAGAGGAAATATCACGAATTAAATTAAATTTTTTAAATACGCTAAGAAAGTTCTAATAAATTTTCATGCAAAGGTTTATTTAAATTCACTCGTTCCAGTAATAAATTATAATAATAAAAAGATAAGATAAGAAAAATATAATAATTTATTTTTATCATCCAATTCTTTATATTCTAATTTAAAAAAAGAATCAAATATGTTTTGAGAAAGTATTACACGAAATGGGCTCGGTTGTATTATTTCTTTTTTATACGTTGAATTTCGGCGACAACAAAATATTTGAAAAATCCGTAAGATAAATGATTAGGAAAAAAATGGACGCGTGTACGGAATGGTTAAACAAGTATCAGTGATACGATAGTTTTATCGTAAACGTGAAAGTTTTACACGTGTACGCTGCGAACACGTGCGAGTTTAAACGATATAACTTCTCTCGACAGAAGAGACACGATTAACAAACGAGGAATACGCAATTTTTCTGACGAGGCACATATTCGGCATATTTTGTCAGCGTTATTTGTATACTTACATTCCTGTTTGTATATATCAATTTATCGAAATCTGTTTCCCGCCACGTCGTCGCAAGTATATAACATTACAATCCAAACAGTTTCGGGTAAGCAAAGGATTGTATTTCTTCTTTTCATCATTTCATAGTCACAGAACACGTGTGCAATCAAACAAATCGTTTAGTTTTTTTTAGTGTAAAGACGTCTTACATACGTGATTAAAAGTAAATATCTAATCGAATCACACATATGATTACGCAATCGAAAATTACGTGCTATAACAATATTAAAGATTGTTAGGTATTCAATATAACACATCAATATCCAATACATGTAGATCAACTTTTTGTAATGTTCGCGTGCATCTAATAAATAAAATTACATCTGACTACATTTTCATAATTTAATTTATTCATACGTCTTTATAGAAATGGTTGGTAGTTCGAGATTATCGGGAAATTGGAGATGTGGCGCCAAAGCTACAAAATCCATGCTGTTTACGCTCGAAGGTCTTAAAAAAAAGTGGGAGGTAAGTCTCATTAACGTGAATCACGTTGATCGTTAACTTTCAGAAAGCAATAAATATTTAATCAACTAAATAATTATTAGAGGAACGAAATATCAAAATCCTACCTCTTTTTTTCCACAATATGCCATCTGCACCATTGGATATTAAAAAAATATTTGCAACGTGTATTAAACATTAGAAATAGATAAATAATTATATTTCATATTTAAGGAGCAAAATGTTATTCACAAGTTGATACGTTTTTTCATTTTCATTTTTCAAAAATTTGGTATTACAAAATCAATTGATACTTTGACTGCCAAGCTGATTTCGGCATAATTAATAAATCTAAAAATATATTATTTTAATAGTTTATTGTTTTTTAATAAAATATAGCAGGGCTTTTTCGTCCATTTCTCGCGATAATGTTTATATTTTTGAACAGCACATGTTGATTATTTAAATGTTATACTTGTGCTCT